TGGATTCTCAGAGTCCCACGCGTGAGACAATTCGAGAGATTCTCACTTTATCTGAGGAGCTGGACTTAGGCAGAATGAGACCAGTCAATGTACACAGTTTGCGTTCAGGCACATTTAACTGTTCCCATGCAAAATGGGTGGGGTCTGGTCATGGAGGTGCCAGGGAAACTTTCTTGACTACTTCGCTGTGTCTTTTTCAGTGTGGTGCTCCTGGCATTTGCATCTCATCCCACAGGTAAAGGCGGCGGGACTGTTATCTTGTTTGTTGTCTTACTACCTGCCTGCTTAACACAGCCTGCAGGTCTCTGAGAGACGTTACGTAAGCACACACAGTTGGAGAGAACATCCTTCCAGGATGTCAAACTGAGGGGTTAGGAATGGCCCGTATCTTTGAAACTGCTCTTAATAGCCCATTACGGAGTCATTACCCAGGCATTCACTCTTATCTCTTCTCGAATGTTGTCGTCCACGTTTTTACCTGGTACGAACTCAGATATAAAGGGCAGGTCTATTACCTGCTGAGTAAATGTGCTTTTGTCCTCTTCTGAAATTCCTTCTTCCAGCGTCCAGAATTGATTGCTCTTTAGTACGACAGCCAAAGGATTTGGTGAGAAAGTTCAAATTTGCCCTCTTTCCAGCTGATATCATTCGATAAGTTTTTATCATATGTCACCATCCAGTTTTTACAATTCCAGATTAAAGAAGTCAGTTTCTAAAACTTGTCTTCACTCTGTTGTGGCCTCAGTTACTCTGTGGTTACTTTTCAGATTCAGGAATTACCCACAATACTCTATTCCATTGTGGTATTTTACTCTGAAAGACTTTGAAGTTGATGCCAAGGATAAAACAATTATCGTCTGTGCGTGGCACGTCTGAAAATACATGTTTCACTGGTCGTGTTCTTCGTGGCTTAGTGGAGGGTGGTGGAAAGAAAGAACATTGACGCAGAAGGATTGGAATTTGCCTCAGACTCCCAAGTATTTGGGACCACAGGCGCCGCAACAACACTTGGCTATTTTTTGTTGTAGTTTGGCCAGGGCTGGGTTTGAACCCGCCACCCTTGGTATATGGGGCTGGCGCCCTACCCATGGAGCCATAGGTGCTGCCCAATGAACTGCTTTTTTTAAACAACTAATGTTTACTGACTACTTGTGCATAAGGCGTGACCCAAGTTCATATGGTCTCAGTCTTCCTATCTACAAAATTAAGAAAGTGGACTGGGTCCTTCTAAGTCCCCTTCAAGCTCTCATCCTGTGCTCAAGGCCTGTTTCAGACCCTATGGGCAAGTTTCTTCAGGGAATTGCTAATAGTGACCCCATAGTGAGGTTTCAAATTACCCTCCACTTATCCACTCTGAAGCACATCTCTATTGTCTGCCCACTCCTGTAGCCAAGTAACATCTCAAAACTCGGAGCGTTGAATGCCCTTTTTGCCATTTGTTGAAAGTCAACCCTTTGTAAAACAACAAATCCTGCAAAGTCATGCTGTCACCCTAAAGAGTGTCCACTCATCCCTACTGTTGGTCACTTGCAATTTATTTATTTACACAGAATCTCACTCTGTCACCCTCGGTAGAGTGGTGTGGTGTCATTAGAGCTCACAACAACCTCAAAAACTCTTGGGCTTGAGTGATCCTCTTGCCTCAGCCTTCCAAGTAGCTGGGGCTACAGGTGCCCACCACAATGCCCAGCTAATTTTTCTATTTTTAGTAGAGATGGGTGTCTTGCTCTTGGTCTCCAACTCTTGAGCTCAAGCAGTCCTGCCTTGGCCTCCCAGAGTGCTGGGATTACAGCTGTAGCCACCGTGCCTGGCTGGTCACCTGCCTCTAAGTTGTGCCTGTTTTCTTTTACGGAGCCAAGCAGTTGCTGCCCAACAGACATTTAAGAACCTCCTGAGTGTCCTCCCCCTTTGAAATATACTTTTGTCAAAGCCCTTTAGAAAGTTATGTTCACAGACTCTCCTGGGTTTATGTGTTCCTTTACTTCTTGAATTATTTCTAGTAGACTTGAGTAATTTTCACCTACAGACATCACCTGGCCCTTTAGCTAAGAAGCCATCCTTGTTCATTTGGTTCATTCATGAGGATGAGAACTGGAGAGCATCTTACTGATTGTCCCAGGTGCCACCAGATTTTAAAAATGAAGAAATTGAAGTCCCAAGGAGTTAAGTGATGTGACCAAGGTGACACTGAGTAGGTGAGCAGCAGCGAGAGACTGGAGTTTAGGTCTCCTGATCCTCTTCCCACGTTTTTCTTTTGAAATTCCACTTGTTCAGTGATCCTGAAGGCTCCCAAGCAAGGGAATACTTTTGTATGATGTTTCTAAATTTCTTTCTGGAGCTTCTCTTGTTCTGTGGAGTGTTTTAGCCTCCAGTTTCTCAGCTTGGTAGCTGCTGGTAATAGTTTGTACATTTTGGCCAATAGTCTGACATTTTACCTTGAGGTATTGCTAAACTTTTAGGTCAAGGTAAGAATGAATACCTCGGGCACTTGGTTGCTTTCCAGCTTGATCAATTGTGACAAATGTACACACCTGTGTGACTCACACCCCCATCAAGATAATGGAACATTTCTGTCACTGCAGAAAATCTCCTGCCTCTCACCCACTACAAATGCCTCCTCCACTGATCTGATTTCTGTGACCAGAAGTAAGTTCATCTTTCTTGAGCCTGGTATATAAATAGAAACAGCATTTTTTGCCTCTGGCTCTTAAATTCAGTGCAGCATTTAGAGATTCATTCATGTTGTGTATTTCATGAGTTTGTTCCTTTTTGCTGCTGAGTGGGGTTCCATCCTATGAACAGACCACATTTTATTTGTCTGTTTACCTGTTGATATTCACCTGGGCTGTACCTAGTTTGTGGCTATTATGAATAGCCAAAAAGCCACTATGAACATTCTTAATACAAGGTCCTTTGTGGACTTACGCGTTCATGTCTCTTGGATAAATAGAAGTAGGATTACCATCCAGTAGAGTAGATGTCTGTTTAACCTGCTGAGAGTGCCGGTTTTCCGGAGGGTTTACACTATTTTATATTTGTATCCCGCAGTGTGAGAGTTCCGGTTGCTCGACATTCTCACCAGTGTTTAGTGATGTCAGTCTTGTTTTAACTATTCTGGGCTCTAGACAATGCTTTTGACTGAACTTCTATCTTCACTTATGAGCTTGCATCATTACCCATGAGCAACCAGAAAGATGAGCTTTTTTGCAGATGTACCTTTGGGGTACACTGGGGTGTGGTGCTAGGGGGACAGTTCTTGGGTCAGACCCTGCCACAGGGTTTGCTTCTTGGCAGATAGAATCCACCTTCCCTCTAGCCTTTCTTTCTTTCTTTTTTTGAGAAAGAACCTCAAGCTGTCACCCTGGGTAGAGTGCCGTGGCATCACAGCTCACAGCAACCTCCAACTCCTGGGCTCAAGCAAGTCTCCTGCCTCTGCCTCCCAAGTAGCTGGGACCACAGGTGCCCGCTACAACACCTGGCTATGTTTTGGTTGCAGCCATCATTGTTGTTTGGCGGGCCCAGGCTGGATTCGAACCCACCAGCTCAGGTGTATGTGGCTGGCGCCTTATCCACTTGAGCCACAGGCACCGAGCCCCTTCTAGCCTTTCAACCTCACAATTCCTATTGAGGCTCCAAGAGTCTTACTACCTTCCTTGAGAAGAGTACCACCTTCCCCCCACGTTATTTGAAGCAATGGTAGAGAAGAGACATTCTTCCCATGCTTTAGAGTTTGCACTGCCCGTTTGTATGGGACCTCTTAGCTGTGGTGTTCAAGAGGGAGGAGAATTTCAGGCAATCAGAGGAGCACAGAGGCCTATAGGAATCTGACCCAGAAATAATCCTGTTACCTGTTGTGTCTGTTGCTCATGTGTGAGATGAAGCAGACAGCACTAATTACTCCCTGGAAATGACTCCCCATTTCCCTGCCAGGTCTGAAGGCAAAAATGTGAGAGGAAATTTTCTTCATATTCAAATATCAATTAGTCTTGAATGTGGCAATATTGTGACACACTTTCCACTGTGGCAATTTCATGCTCTGCTATCTTCAGAGAAACAGGATTCATTCCCTCACTCAGAGTAGCAGAATTTTAGCTGTAGAACAAGACAGTGAGGGCTTAACTCAGAATTTATTTTATGAGCCACACGTTGCTGCTGCTACAAAGCTTTAGCCACTTAATCCACACTTCAATGGTGCAGTTATGCACTAGAGGGTGCAGGAGTGTTGTGTCATGAACAGCTTTACACATTTTTTTAGGCTCCTGGATTAAGTTCTCATGTGATTGGGGCCGGCCCACCAAGCCGCAGCCTCCGCTGAGGGTATTTATAGCACAGTCACCAACATTTGCCGTTCGGTGGTGGCTGTGAACCCTCTGTGTTTAAGGGGAGGATTTTAGCAAAATAGAAGGCAGAGGGGACGGATTCAAAGAGAACATCTGGGGTCAACTTAATTGAGGACTATGTAGCCAACTGGAAACAGGAATATTCCCTCCAGGGAAAGCAGAAGTTGATGGGGCCTTTCAGATGCTCTCAGCTCAGCAGGGACAGACATGAAGTCAGCCATGTGCTAAGTGAGCAACATGAAGGTTTGAGCAATGGTCAAAGGTAGGAGAGGTCTCTCTCTTACTTTCTGTCTCTCTCCATGATTTATGGAATCAGTTTTCAGGATCTGAGTGGGGTTATTATCTAACCGGTTAATTATTTAGGACTATACTTTTCCCCCTGATTTCCCTCCCTCCCCATCTTCCTGTGATCGCCCCTCTGGTCTTCAGACGCCCCTCCAAAGCTTAGCTGGTAAAAGTTGCTCATGTGCCGCAAGTCCGGTTCTCTCCACCCTGGGATGAAGGGCTGGGTGCTGAGGGGGCCTCAAGGACCTGGTTTCTGTCACTGCCCCCCTGCCATTCCTCATCATCTCACTGCTTTTGCTGCACTTTCTCTCACCTGAGAGGCAGGTTAGGAAAGAGCCAGGAACTGGCAGCTGCCCGAGAGACAGAGCAAATTCTCCTCCCTCCACCTGCCTAAATGGGGCTTCTGGCCACTCCCTAGGTCCAGGGTCCCCAGGGATTAACTCGTATGTCACTACTATGGGGACAGAGACTTCAGAATATGTTTGTGCTAGGCTGGGCACAGTGACCCACCCCTGTAATTCCAGCACTCTGGGAGGCCAAGGTGGCGGATTGCTTGAGCTCAGGAGTTTGGGATAAGCCTGAGCAACAGTGAGACCCCATCTCTACTAAAAAAAAAAAAAAATAGAAAATGTTAGCAGGGCATTGTGGCGCACGCCTATAGTCCCAGCTACTTAGGAAGCTGAAGTAGGAGGATTACTCGAGCCCACGAGTTGAGGTTGCTGTGAGCTATGACGCTACAGCACTCTACCTAGGGTGACAGAGTGATACTCTATCTCAAAAAAAGAATATGTCTGTGCTTTTCATACACTAGAAAACTGAGTCTGGTGTTGTCATTTATCAAGTCCCTCCACCACCCTAGATCGCGATTAGGCAGCAGAAGGAGAACAAGAGCTCTTAGCCTCTTGCTGGACTACGGGAAAACCAGATCCCAAGAAACCCTCTCCTTTAGTTAAACACATGTGCATATGCACACACAAAACAAAGAAAAATAACAGTCATGATAAAAAGCAAAACACAACCCTCCAGAGAAATAGAATTCAGAACTTGTCCTTCCCAGTAGGTGGCTGAGTCATTTGAGCTCATTCAGGTCTCTGAGGAAGTCCAGAAGCCTGTTGTGTTTTTTTCCAGTACTCTTGATTACTAGGTGTAGTGGTGAGGAGAAGGCCGCTGGGGTGCCACTGCATACCCGTCCTCCTGCAAATACTTAGGAAAATCAGCCCTCTCCCTCCAGTGCCCCAGAACTGAGAGACAGGCCAAGGCCCAGGGGTCTGGATGACCAGGCTCTCCAGGGGCTCAGGAACTCCAGATCTGGAAAGATTAAGATATCTGCTGGGGAAATGCTTAATTCCTTTTCTCTGGAGATTTTTGGAACACTTTCTGCTTTTTTAATCTCCTGACTTCTTGTTTGTGACCAAGTTCAAATTCCAGAGAGGGAAGCAGCTAGTATGTGTGATTATTTCCTCTTGCAGCAAGTGGAACTAAAGGAATGAGCTTACTTCACAAGAAATAAATGTACCCTTTGGACCTCACACTAAAATGAACATGCACAGTCGGTCTGGTCCTTGTGCTGTTTGTGCAATAATTAAACACAAAAATGAACAAAGATGTCAGGCGAATGCATTTGTGATGTTTTTCAAAGACATAGGCAGAAGAGAAGAATGTTTGCAAAGATTCTTTTTTACTGCATGTGCTCTTGGGCAGGGCTGGTTGCTTGGTAAAGAGGAGAGATCCTAAGGTTTGGGTGGACTAGAGTTCTCACTCTGGCTCAGTAGTTTAAGAGTTGTGCGATCTCAGACATGTCTAACCTCTCTGAGCTCTGGCTGAAATGGGGATGATAGAATTGCACAGAGTTGTTACGAGGATGGGAAGAGTAAGTACTTACAGCTTTTAAGCATAGGTCCTGCACAAGCATGCTCTCACTAAATGACCATTATTATTATGCTGCTGTTGTTATCAGACAATGCCAGTGACAGAGTCCCTAGGAATGCCAGAGTGAACTCAGTGCTGGGCAACCCAACTCCCAGAGCAATGCCATGCAAGAGACCCTGACCTTGCATTTCCCTGGGCAGTTGGGTGCGGAGGGCTGTGTGGTGCCTCATGGGCCATTGCTCACCATTGCTGTGCCCACAGGTGATCTCTTCAGCGTCCTGGACTTCCCGTTCTTGTATTTCTACAGATTCCATGGCAGCTGCTGTGCCAGGTACTCTTGAACTTGTTCATATGTTTTCTGTCCTGTCAGCTGTGTCTTCCTCTCTGGGAAGGGCAGGGTCACTGCCAGTGACCTGAATGAGTGACAGGAGAGAGTAGGGTTGGGGGTTGTGGTGCTGATGCAGCTCGGCCTCCAACAGGCCATCACCAAGGACATGCAAGCACTTGGGGCCAGACCCAACAGAAGCCCCTAGTCTTCAGAAGCACCTCAGCCAGGGCTGTTTTCAAACTTGCTGGTGAACTAGGATCCTCCACTTTCCCCCCTTCCACAGCAAATGTCACAAAGAACTTCAGTATATAAAACTGATGGAGGGAAGATTTGGGTCCAGAGACCCACTGTCCAAGCTTCCATCTTGGCCTCCTTCTTGCTCCCGAAGGAAACTTCCAAAATAACCTTCACCAAACCCTCGTTCCCTGAAAAACAGATTTTGGAACAGTGACTAAGAGATGTCTGACAAGGTGACCATTAGGATTTGGCCTTGGGAAGGACCCAGGGCTGTAGGCCAATTAGATGGATACATCTAAGTACACAGAAGTTGACACCCAGCCCTTCTCCCTTTCTCTGACATGATCGCCATTTTGCTTGACTTTATTATGCTGAGAAGGGGGAAGGCTCCTGTGGACAGTCTCGAAGGACATGCAGTGATCTGATGTGGTGGGAAGACCAGATCTGGTCGAACCCCAGGATTGCTGCTTCCTAATTGTGTGGTCTTTGGGAAAATTATCCAATTTCTCTTAAGTCTTAGTTTTCTTTTCTTTCTTTCTTTTCTTTTTTTTTGGAGACAGAATCTCAAGCTGTCTCCCTGGGTAGCACATCATGGTGTCACAGTTCACAGCAACTTCAAACTCATGGGCCCAAGCGACTCTTCTGCCTCAGCCTCCCAAGTAGTTGGGACTTCAGGTACCCGCTACAATGCCCAGCCATTTTTTTGTTGCAGTTGTTGTTGTTTTAGCTGGCCTGGGCCAGGCTTGAACCTGCCACTCTCAGTGTACGTGGCTAGTGCCCTGCCGACTAAGCTATGAGCACTGCCCTCTACGGTTTTTTTTTTTTTTTTTTTTTTTGCAGTTTTTGGCTGGGCCTGGGTTTTGAACCCACTACCTCCACCATATGGGGCCAGTGCCCTACTCCTTTGAGCCATAGGTGCCACCCCATTCTATTATTTCTTATTCTCCTAAGTTTTTGGCTGGGCCTGGGTTTTGAACCCACTACCTCCAGCATATGGAGCCAGCGCCCCACTCCTTTGAGCTACAGGAACTGCCCACCCCTCTTAGTTTTCTTTTCTCTTCTTTCTTTATCTTTTTTTCTTTTTTGAGACAGAGTCTCATTCTGTGGCCCTCTGGTAGAGTACTGGGGCATCAGCGCTCACAGCAACCTCAAACTCTTGGGCTCAAAGTGATCCTCTTGCCTCAGCCTCCTGAGTAGCTGGGAATACAGGTACCAGTCACAATGCCTGGCTTTTTTTTTTTTTTCTTTAGAGAAACAAAGGCCCTACCACTTAGTTTTCTTATCTGTAAAATAGAAATATAATACCATTATAGGGCTATCATGTGTATTAAGTAAAATATATAAAGTCTTAAGCATTGTGCCTGGCCCAGGAAATGTTGGCCATTATTGTCATCTTTCAAGGTGACTGTAAGTACAGTGTTAACACATCGTGAACGATTGCCATGTGAAAATCAGGCCATCTGTTCCCATGAATATAAAATGTTACCTATAAGGCAATGATTCTTCAGAGTTCAAAGCTGCTCATGGCCAGGTACTATTTCTGCTGGGGGTATGTCATGTTCCTCATGTGTGTTATAGTGAAAAAAAATTAATGTTAGAGAGTTTATTTCTGCCTTTGAGCCTCAGAGTGATTTATTTATCACCCTCAGAAAAGTTTCAGGGAAACATTGACAGAATTCACTGTCCCAGTTCCTGTTGACTTGATCACACCTTGTTCTCTTGCATGTTAGCTGGAATTATACCGACCTGCTCGAGTGCCTGCGACTTGTTTGCTGTCAAGTGTGGTTATTTGGGCAAATGGCAAGTGGGGTGTGGGTGGAGCCCAGATTTTTGCCACAGAGCAGCGCAGCTCTCAGCCCCTTGATGTTGGCTTTGTGGGGCGGCTTTCAGGCTCTGTTTCTGCCCCTTGTTAATCTGCAGCTTTCTTCTAACACACATGATAAATAGTTTCTTTTATTTTGAAGACCTGGAAAGTTCTATTTTCAGTGTTTCTCAATCTTTTCAATCGGACGGCACACTCAAATCTATGGTTAAACTTCCGAAGCACACTTAAATTATGTTGATTAAAAAAAAAAGAGTAAAAAAGAATATACTTACTATGCCTTGAACTTCTTTCAAAAGTAATTTAATTAATGATCTTTACAAATTTTCATGGCATACCAGTTGAAAATCACTGCTGTATTTGAATTGATTTAACTCTGTTACATTTCACCTCTTGCTACAGAGCTTAGCCTCTGTAGTCATTTCAGTGGCTCCTCCATGACCACATCTGAGATTGGGAGGTCCGAGGAAGCAAAGAGAGGGGACACAGAGACCTGGGGCAGTGGTAGCCAGAACCTGAAGACCCCATTACCAGGGAATCTCCTTTTCCCTGGCTTCTTCACTTCCAAGAGCCTCCCTCTGCTTTCCAGCTCTGTATCCATGGCAAGGGTTAGAAGATCTGAGAGTGGAAAAGGAATGTGAGGGATCCATGAGTAATTTAGAAATGGCTCACAGACGTCCAAGTCCAAAGATGGGAAGGAGTCCTAGATGCTTCCATAAGTATACGGGTCCTAGTCTGGGATGAGTTTGTCCTGGCTCTGTGTCAAGGGAACAGGTAACATGGGATCATGCCCTTCTCTGGCTGGAGGTACAGAGGAGAGGAAAAGACCCAGGGGAAGGAGGTCTGGGAGGTTGGACAGGCACTTGTGAAGTTGTTACTTCCTTGTGTGCAGGGGTGGGAGCCACTAAGAAGAACCTAGAGCACTAGATGCCTCACTTCTCAGACCCACCCTCCTGGCCACAGGCACCTGGAACATCTTACTCTTTGGCTGGTCAAGAATATGTTTCCAAGGCTGGGCACAGTGCCTCATGCCCATAATCCCAATACTTTACAAGGCCTAGGCGAGAGTTTCACTTGAGCCAAGGAGATTGAGCCCAACTTGGGCAACATAGTGAGACCCTATCTCTACAAAAAAAAAAAAAGTCAGCCTGGGGTGGTGGTGAATATCTGTAGTCCCAGCTGCTTGGTGGGGGCCGAGGCAGGAGGATCACTTGAATACCAGGAGTTCAAGGTTACAGAGAACAGGAGTGTTCGGCACCCAGACTGAAGGTTACATAGGCCTGTGACCTGTGATTGTGCCACTGCCTGCACTCCAGAATGAGACCCTCCCTCTAAGAAACAAAAGAAAGAAGGAAGGAAGGAAGGAAGGAAGAAAGACATTTCCATAGGAAGAGCCATGGAGACCTGGATTCTAATTGTACCTGTGCCTCAGTTTCCTTGTTAACCAAGTGAGATTTGGGGGCTGGGTAACCTTTCTCTTTTCCAAGTCTCTGGTTTCCGTAAGACAGGATGAGGAGCACTGTTCTTGTTCCTCCTTTATAAACACCAAACCTGAGACAAGAAAAAGGGGGAAAGAGGATTTGGTAATAGTCATGAGAATCCAGGTCACCTAGGGTGATTGGGTGAGCCTATCACTTACCCAAGGGGCCTCTTTGCCTTTTGGATGTGACTTGATGTCTTCATCCCTAACTGTGCAGTCTCCCGTGACTGCAGATACAGATCTGAACACGTTCTGCAGGTCATCAGGGCCAACAGGCTGAGCTACACACAGGGGAAACCTAATGCCTGTCTCTGTCCAGCTGCGAGAATGTGGCTATGAACTGATCTAATCTGATGAAGTGAAATTACACATTTCCATGATGTCTGGCCTTGGGCATATCCAATTTAATTCAACCAGCTTCCAATTCAAGCAGACAAACATTTATTTAATATGTATTATAGCTGAGTCCCCATGGCAGTCTCTGTGGAGGAAAATACAAAGAGCAACCCAGGACTGAGCCCTTGCCTCTGAGAGCTTAGTGTCTACGTTTGAGCAGCACACCAAGGCCTGTAGTAGAGGTCAGCCGGGACTATGGTGCTTGAGGCTCTGCAGGTGCAAATGAAGTCCTTGCATGGCCTGCCTCTCTGGCTGAGGGTACAACTGCAGTCATCTATCTTCTTTTTTTTTTTTTTTAGACAGAGTCTGACTGTCACCCAGGCTAGAGTGTCATGGCCTCAGCCTAGCTCACAACAACTTCAAACTCTCAGGCTCCAGTGATCCTC